GCGCCACATGTACATTATAGACACCGTTATGTGTATCATAATGTACATGTAGCATAACCCTAATTGATATAATAATCCTTTTCTGCCTATATCACAACTTCTGCAATGATGCCACGAAGTTCTTTTCCACTTATCCTCTTTTGCTAGCTCTATTGAGTGGGAGGTTCTGATGCCACTATGAATAAGAAAATAGATAGCAAGAAGTGTATCATTTCAATTATTCATTGAAGGAATTTAATAAAAGTAAGTTGCATCTGGTTTTTACAAATTCCATTTTCTCTAATCTTGAAAACTATTATTTCAACAGGGCTTGTGTTGTTGTCAATGATAGGCTCTTTGTTATTGGTGGCCAAGAGGGTGACTTTATGGCGAAACCTGGGTCGCCTATCTTCAAATGCTCGCGGAGGCATGAGGTACACGATTTTGAAATATATGATAACTTGTATGAAATTTTTGGTACTGATGATTTGATTAACATGCACACTTACAGAAGACTCGATACTTTTGTCAAATAATGTGTACCAAACATACTCTCATTCTCTTGCACTGATTGTTTTTGGGTATACTATTTACAGTTGCTGTATTACCTGTTATATATACTATTTGAGGAATCTTTGTACAAGAATAGTAAGATTATCCTTTTTCTATTTTTTCAGGTTGTTTATGGGGATGTTTATATGTTGGATGATGAGATGAAGTGGAAAGTGTTATCCCCTTTGCCCAAACCCAACTCCCACATAGAATCCTCATGGGTTATTTTAAATAATTCCATTATTATCATGGGAGGAACGACAGAAAAGCACCCAATGACAAAAAGGATGATCTTAGTTGGAGAGATGTTCCAATTTCATTTGGACTCACTAGTAAGTACCAACATATAATTTACACCATTAGAAACGAAGCCCTTGTTTGGTCCACATTAAAATTTTCATTCTCATTCTTCTACTCATTTTCAACCACACATTTTTCAATAAAATAATATTTCTATCACATCAATAACTTTTTCTTCTTTTTTAACCACAAATTCTCCATCAATCTACTATTCCAGAATACATTCTTCCAAAATAATGTGGATCAAACACACCCTAAATTATTTTTTCTCGATATAATTTGACAAGCCCACACAGCTAAACAGGCAAAATATTTTCAACCACACATTCTTCAATAAAATAATATTTCTATCACATCAATAACTTTTTCTTATTTTTTAACCACAAATTCTCCATCAATCTACTATTCCAGAATACATTCTTTCAAAATAATGTGGATCAAACATAGTTTAAAGCATGATTCTTCGGAGTTATTTAGTTTGTATTCTTGGTTGGTTAACGCATGAGTTTTTTGTATTTGCATATTGAGGTTTGGTCGTAATACATTATAAAGTCACATTATAGTATTTGGAATTGTGAACATCAAAGTGCATCCATAAGAAAAAATGGTCCTAGAGAACATTTTGTTTCTCGTGTATAAACTTCAAAGTTGTGTTTTACCCTTCTTTAAATTGTTGATTAACGTGTGTGTGTGTGTGTGTGTGTGTGAGAGAGAGAGAGAGAGAGAGAGAGGTTTCCGGGTTTAGGAGACTGATTTATAATGTCNAGAGAGGTTTCCGGTTTTAGGAGACTGATTTATAATGTCAAGGAGGAAACGAAAAGGACAAGGGCTTTGATATTTGGCAAAGTGGATATTTAGTTTTAGGCATAACCAGTCAAGGTTAACTGTAAAGCTAAGCACTTGTTTGGTGGGAATTAAAATTAGATTTTTAGTAGATTTTAATAAAAGCGGATGAAATATGTGGTTAAAAAGTTGTAGGACCCATGAAATATGAAATATGTAGTTAAAATTAATTGTCGACTTTGATTTGGGTTAAAATCTAGATTTTTATCTGGGGCTAAATATAATTTGCAGCTAAAAGCATATCAAAATAAGTGAATTTGGGCACGAGTATTTAAAGTCTAGACTCTAAATTGATCTCGAGGAGTATACAAGGTGATTTTAACTTTATTGTTCCTTCACGATGCTTTATTACAGTGTAGCAAGTGCAGGAATGGAACAAGCCGGATCGTAATCCTTTTTCACATTCCAAAATAATGGATACTTAACATCGAATCTATTTTATTCCTACTTCGGTCCCATTCCATTGTCCAAATTCATCCTGCATATGTGATTCCCTCATTGAGAGATTGTAGATTGTTAGCATACCCTAATATTGCCCATTAATGTAGCAGACACCTGAATCAGCAGTGCAGAACTCAGGAAAGTGAGTTCATGGACATTTTTCTGAATGTTGATATATCTTCATGAACTGTGATATCCTGGTTTTTTGCGAATTTTACAGAAATGGTCTGTTATCGGAAAGCTTCCATATCGAGTGAAAACGACACTGGCTGGTTTTTGGGACGGCTATATTTATTTCACATCCGGACAGCGTGACAGAGGACCTGATAATCCACAGCCGAGGAAAGTCATCGGAGAGATGTGGAGAACAAAGTTAAGCTTGTGATGTTATTTATTTATTTATTCATTCATTTGTTCTTGCTAGTTCTTTGTAATGTACAAGTTCCCAATTGTCATTCTTTCGGATACTAGGTGAAGTGTTTATTATTTATATACTTTTCACGCGTCAGTCTTTAGTGAACAATTGGATGGTCATCTCCCTCCTGTATAATGTACAATGGACTAGTCGATAGTCATGTAATTGATAAATGGAGAAATTCGAATTGTAGTCAGGTGGTGGATTTGATGAAATGTCGCCAATTTTATAGACATTTGCAAAAGGTATTGCCACCAAAATTTTTATTTAATAAATCACATTTTAATGGTAATTAAACTTCTCAATTTTTTGTTCATTGTAGTAATTATTTTAAACTTTTTTCTGTCTAATTTTTATCTAAAAATTTCATTAATTAGTACTAATCGCCCTTGATGATAATTTGTATTAAAATATTTTGCTTTCATGTTTCAAAATGTGGGAAAAATATTTTTCATGCTTTTTATTTATCCAGTTATTTTATGCCATTTAACAAATTTTTAAACATAAAATTGTTATCAAATACAGAGTATGTTAACTAATGGAATGTTCGAGAATAAGAACGATATGAAAAATATTAGGGACACAAGTGTTGTAATGAACATTAAGATTAAAAACTTTAAATTCAATTAAAATGTAATGCAATAAATAAAAATTGTAGTGTAAATATAATTAACAAAATGGCCGTTTCTTGATGTCAAAATACGAAAATGTCCTTTTTATAGAAATTCCCAATTTCTTTGTAGGTTTAAGATTTCGTAATACAGAAAAGGTTGTCGCATATAACTCCAGGATAAAGTACTAGCATCCAAGGTAGCTTTATTAGTGCTACAAGCTTTTGATAAATGGATAATATAATTAGGCGACGTTTGATAGGGTATTATTTTTCATGAAAAATGAAAAATAAATTTCAAATTTCACTTTTACTTTGTTTGATACACTTTATTTTTCATGGAAAAAAATTTCTACCTTTGGCTCACCATTTTGGTGGGAATTGATTTTCCATTTTTTTTTTTTTTAAGCAATTGGAATTTTTTTTACATACAATGTTTAAAAAATATATCACTTTTATTGACAATTTTCATACAAAACAAAGCCAAACGAATGGCATTCGGTATGGTAATTTTAATTTTGTTTTTCAAGTAAAACAAATTCTAGATCTCATGGTAAAGGAAATTATCATTTTAATGGACAATTTTCATGAAAAAGAAAGTCAAACGGATACCAAACCTTCAACATTTTTCAGGTGGAAAATTATACCAATCAAACACAATTAATTATAATCTCAGTAAAACAATTTTTAGACAATTCAATTCCTTAGAATTCATTTTCTTTCCATCCATTTTTCACATTTACAATCAAATGGACCCTATAGAAAAATACACAAGAAATTCACTTAACAAAAAAGGATAATAATGAAAGAAAACCCTTATTTGCAATTAGAGGTTGAAGAATTCCCATCAAACTCAACATTTACACTTCAAAATGAAAATTTTTATGACACTGCAAAATTCTAGAGCTACTTCAAATTAGATATTTACGTAACATTGATTTAGAAGTTTTGAAATTTCAAAAAATTTCAAATTTCTACATTTCGAAGTTTAAAAATTTCTAATGTGGTTACAACTTACAACATCGATATTTCTGAGGTTCTACTCTGTTCATAAAGCCTATTTGCTGATTTTTCCAAAAAAAAAACTAATATTTATTGGGCAGCTAACTCATAAGAAAGAAAACAAGAAAAAATAAAATTTTCAGATTTTCCGAAAAAATAAACAAAAACCGAACGTGAAAAAGTAGAGGTATGTACATATCTAAAGTGAAGTGTTACACCTCTGTCCATGTGGCAAGCCATGCGACTAGATGTTAGCAATATACCACATAAGCATTTTCGAGGCATTCAAGCAAGAGCATGCCGCCTCTACTATCTTCTATCATGGAGATGATAAGGAGCATTCTATCACCTTGCCGACAAATACCTTCAGGCGATGAGGGCACATTTTACTGCTTCGTCCACCATTATCTTTCAAGGTGTTGGGAGCTTTGCCCAACGCTTCGTGGATAAAACCTCTTAGACGACATAACTCGGGTAGATCTATCACTTCTCGTATCCAAGGCGATCAATATCGACCCAATCCCTAGCCATGTTATACAGGCCTTTGGACTACAAGGTGGTTAGGGTTCGAAGCCTGATGCCTTGGAATAGTTGTAAACTAGCACTTTAAGCCATGTGCAATGTGATGGATATGACATCTGTACAAAGATGACTGAGAGTTGGGGATGATTGCTCGGGATAATGAAAAATAGCAAAATTTGGACAAATATTTTACTCAATAAATAATGAGGCTTTACTATAAAATAGAAACAGAGGATTACAAAATGGGTTTCAAATCAGAGTTACAAAGTATTTTAAACTCTCTATTTCTCTTAATAACAAAATCTATCTTTCTCAAATCCTCACTTAGTGCTCAAGTTTTTTAGCACTTACTCAATGAACATACATATATAATGAACATATCCTAAGGCATGTTTATAGATTTTGGAAGGCGGTTTATCATTTGACAAATACAACTTGAATTCCTTCTTTGGAAGTTGAAGAATCAAGCATGAACATGATCAACCAATAAGCTTTATTTCCTTGCTTGACTTGATAGATTTACTTGTTTGAATTTTTTCTTAGTAGCAAAGAACAATTTGATAACTATAACTTATCCTTTAAGGAGGTAAAATTTTAACTTTGCTTTCACCTCTATCATTTTCCAACCTTATTTATAAGAAATAAAATCAAAATTTGTCTCCACCTCTAACAACCTCTCACTTGGAGACAAATATCAGGCCGCAGTAGAACCCCGCCCTCATCCTCAAGTACTAAGACCAACTGAAGTTGAATAGGACTCCAGTTTCTCGATAGTAACTACCTTTGTTAACATATCTGCAGGATTTTCTAAAGTGTGGACATTCTCCAAACTGATTTCACCATCTTCTAAGAGCGAACGAACAAAATGGTATTTAATGTCAATATGTTTTGTTCTTGAGTGAAATGCAAAATTCTTGCGAGATGTATATCATTTTGATTATCACTATACAACTTGCAGTCATCAAGATTCTTACCTAATTCGCTCAAGAAATTTTGAAACCATACCATTTCCTTGCAAGCTTCTGTCATTGCTACATACTCTGCTTCTGTAGTAGAAATGGTTATAATCTTTGGTAATTAAGAGACCCAGCTGCAATGCTTCCAAGAATAACACACATATCCAGTTGTGCTCTTTCTGTTGTCAATTTCTCCTGCAAAATCAGAATCAACATACACATGCAAGCCTATCTTTAAGCCACCATAACACGGAGTCATTTCTCGAGTACCTTTCAGATATCACAATGTCTACTTTATAGCTTCCCAATGCTCCTTGTCAAAATTATTCATGAATCTACTAACAACTCCCACTGCATGAGCAATATGTGGTCTGGTACAGATCATAGCATACATCAAGCTGTCAATAGCTGAGGCATAAGGGACCTCAGCCATGTACTTTTTCTCCTCGTGTGTTATTGCTCCCTGTTCCTTCATCAATCTAAAGTGACATGCTATTGGGGTGCTAACAGGCTTAGCACTCTCCATGTTGATTGTTGACCTATGGTTGATTTCATCCTTAATGTTTTGATTATAACAAACAAGATTAATATTGTTTCTAACAATTGATTTTGAGTGATGATAGTTCAATGTTAAAATCTACTAAGTATTGTCAAAATCAAAACATCATAAATCGAACTCGAAATGAATAGCAAAGTGAAAATTTAAGTATTCAAGTCAAATCATTCGAGACGAGAGCTTAAAAGATCAAAATCAAGACTATTAAATCGGGCTCATGAAGAAGGTCAAGATTGAAGTCAAACATTAAAGTCAAACAATGAAAGAAACTTCGAAGCAAGATCAAAAACTTGGTTTTCGAGATCATATGTAAAGGTATAATACTTTGATCTTTAGTAATGAATGACAATAGCTCAAAAATCATTTTGTGCACAAAGTTATTTTTATATCACTTACATATAATATTTTTGATCAAAAGTAATCTTGATTTTTCAAAAGTGATACTTGAACTTAGATCACATCTTTTTAAAAAAAGTCAACGGTCAAAGTCAATGGTCAACGGCTAATTTGCTCCAACTATCAAATTTCAAACGGTCTGATTTTCTGAAAAAAAATAACGGCTAAATTGACCATCCAGTACGAGTCGTACGATTGGACATAGATTTTGACAGTTTTGCTCCTATAAATACCACTTCATTCTTCCATTCAAACCAGACTTTGAGGAGCATCAAAAGTGAGATATTTTCTTAGAATTACTTGAGCTTTCACTTTGCATTTACTTCATTGATTTCTTCATATCAAAACTTTGATTCATTTAAACTCTTTTAAATGTCATCTTCATCAAAGTTCTTCATCTCTCTTTTTACACATACTTATTTCTGTCATTCATAGAAGAGAAATATATTTTGAAGAAAAGTGTTGAACTTACATTGCATCAATTCTTCAACTTCTCTAAAACTTTGATTGATTGAATTTAATTTTGAAATCATCATATTCATCAAAGTTTTCACAACTAACGCTTGAACTTTCATTTATTACTATTCATTAAAGTGTTAGCCTATTCCTCTCTTAGTACTTAACTTATTCATATTATTTATCAAGAGAGGAATTCTATTGTAAAATCACTTTGACTAAGTGTGGGCCGTGTTGAAGTCCATTAAAGATCAACATTGTAAAGGATTGGTGTTCCTTGTTGTAAGTCATCGTGTGGGTCATATTGAGGTTCCATAAAACTCAACATTGTATAAGAATTGGTGCTCCTTGATTGTAAGTCACCGGAAGCGTTGTAAAGAGTTGGATTGCACCATAAGTCAATCAACATAGTGAAAAATGTCTTGCTCGTGTCGGAGAGCTTGGCAACGGGGGACGTAGATCATTGCATTGGATCAAACCTCCATAACATATCGTTTGCACTCTCTATTCTTTTTACTTAACGCATTTACTTCGCGCAAATTTACATTATTCCATTTACGTGTTTACCTATGTTTAGATTATTCTCTATCATTTGCGTGCTCACTACATTAAAATCTTGAGTGATTAACGAAAAAGTTTTAAAAACTAATTCACCCCCCTCTTAGTTAGCCAATCTTGGGCTTTCAGTTGAATCTCTTGATGACTTTACCAACATATCCTGCATGTGATAGCTTTAATCTCTTGTTCTCCTTGTCTCTACTAATTCACATTACAAGAATTTGTTTTGTTGCACTCAAATCCTTCATTGCGAATTCTTTAGACAATTGCTCATTGAGCTTAATAATTTCATCCGTACTTGAACCTACAACAAGCATATCGCCTATGTACAAGAGAAGTATCATATACGAAGTGTTAAGCTTTTTGTAATAACAACAATGATCACCATCGCACCTATGGAAGCCTGCACTTGTCATGAAGCTATCAAATTTCTTATACCATTGCCTGTGCGTGTGTTTGGCCCATACAAACTCTTCTTGAGTCTACATGGCATACTCTCCTTTCTTGTAACCGCATAACCCTAGGGTTGATGTATATAAATATCCTCCTCCAAATCACCATGAAGGAATGCAGTTTTAACATTTAACTACTCCAAATGAAAATCCTCAACCGCCAAATGCTAAGCACGGTTCTGATAGTAGAAATTTTAATAATAGGAAAAAAATCTCAGTGTGATCGATACATGCCTTCTATTGGAAACCTTTTACAAGCAACTTGGTCTTGTATCGTTTGGTGCCATCGGGTTCTTCTTTCAAGTGATAAACCCACTTATTGTGTAAAATATATTTTCCTTCGAGCAATAGAACTAGTTCCCACATCTGATTCGTTAAGAGAGATTCCATCTCATCATCCATTGCCAGCTCCCACTTTTCCCTCATCTCAACCTATAATGCTTCCTCATAACACTCAGGCTTACCATTGTCAATCAACAATAAATAATGCAAGGAAGGTAAATAGAGAACTACAAGCCAAATAGTTCTTTTAGACCTCCTCACAGAACATTGGGTTGACATCTCTGTAGGTGGTGTCTACTGGACATTCGTATCTTGGGGTTTTAACACACCTCTACTAGAGATTTTCTCAAGCTCCACATCCATGCTCCTAATTATTTTTTGATTTTCGTAATCCCAAAAATGATAACCATAATTATCGATGCTATAACCAATGAAGATGCATTTATGAGAATTAGGATCAAACTTATTCCTATTCTCAGGCTCAATGTGAACATAAGAGATGCAGTCAAATATTCTTAAATGCGATAAGTTCACCTCTTTTTTCCGTCCATGTCCCCTCTGGATTCCGCAATTCAAAGGAACTGGAGGACCTCTATTGATCAGGTAAGCAAATGTGCTTAATACATCTGCCCAAAATTGCTTTGGTAAACCAAAATTAATCCTCATACTTCTAGTAGGTTCTAGGATTGTTCTGTTAATGCGTTCTGCAACATCATTCTATTGTAGTTTTCCTAGAATTGTCGATACTTGTTGAATTCTATTTTCTGCACAATAATCCTTCATTCGACTATCTATGCACTCTCATCCATCTTCTAATTTATGACATTTCAACTTTAAACTTGCCTCATTCTCAACTAGGACTTTCCACTTTTTGACGACATCAAATAAATCAGATTTATTTTTCATAAGTAAACTCATAGCTTCCTAGTATGGTCCCCATACATCTGTATGCTTCAACTCCAACCGTTCTAACTTGCATATTTTTTGAACTTTTATAAAATTAACCCTTTTCTATTTTCCAAAGATGCGTTCTTCACAGAAATCCAGGTCTAGAGACTTCAAAACCTCGTAGTTTCCCTTTTGACATCAGAACATTCATTCATTTCTCGCTTATACGTCCAAGTCTGCAATGCCATATGCTCACCTCGACTTCTGATGATGTGATGGAAATGAAACTATGAGTACCAGAAGTACACGGAGAGTACCTTCCTTTTTGCCACGAGCTACCACCATAGCTCATTTGGTCATCTTCCAAGTGTCACCAACAAATGTGGTTGCAATATCAGAGTTAGTAAGTCGACCCACTGAAATTAGGTTCTTTTGCAAACATGGCATATGTTTGTCAATCTTTGATTCTTAGGACTGGTCCAATATGTTAATTTATTTGAACATCACATTTTCCAACTATAGTACAAAACTCATCTTTTCCAAGATGCACCTTGTTGAGGTTACCGGTACATAGTTTTGGAGTAGCTCCTTGCGAGAAGTAGCATGAAACGACACACTCAAATTCATTACCCATGATTCTCCATGAACATCTACAATTAACAACAATGCATCTGAATTTTCAGTATCTGAATCATAACAAAGTTTTTGTCTTCTTGGTTGTTCTATTATTTCTTTGGTGCTCTGCAATCTTGCTTTGCTTGACTAGATTTTCCACAATTACAGCGCTTGCCTTTGAACTTTGGTGAAGATAGTGATCGACCATTTCTTGACCGACTTGTGTTTCACCTGTGGTTGTCGCCTCTGTTTGGATTTCTACCTCTGTTGTTAGTTGCCAAAGCCGAACCCAAGGTTTTTCCACCATCTTTTCTACGAGTATCTTTGCTAAGAACCAAATCTAAAACATGATTTGGTTTCAACTTTACAGAGCTCGTGGTATTGCTCACTGCCACAACCAAAGGATTCCAGCTCTCTAGAAGACTTGATAACGGTACCAGTGCTTTAACCTCATCGTCAAATCAAATATCAACTGATTCCTACTGACTTATAAGTGCATTAAAATCGTTGATATGCTCTATTGCAATTCTGTCATTGGACATCTTCAAGTTGAACAGTTTCTTGATAAGATGAACTTTATTTGTTGCAAGGGGCTTTTCATACATTCTTGATAAAGCTACCATTAAACTTTCGGTTGTCTTTTCATTTCTGATATTAAAAACAACAGATGCAATAAGAGTTATCCTTACCGTACCCAAGGCTCTACGGTCGAGTAACTCCCACTCTTCCTTTTTCATATCCAAAGGCTTCTTTGACTCTTCTTCAAGAGGAAGGTAAAGATCCTTTCGGTATAGTTAATCTTCTATTTGCATCTTCCACAATCCAAAGTTTGATCCATTGAATTTTTCGATCTTAGCTTTTTCGTCTTTTGCTATCATTGATTTGTTGCAACTCAGCTACTATTGAACGCAACTATAATTGATAGGTGCACATGCTCCACCAATTTTGCTACAACGTGGTGCTCTAATACCAATTGTTGAGGATAATTGACTAGGATAATGAAAAATGCAAAATGTGGACAAAGATTTTACTTAAGAAATAGTACGCTTTTATTATAAAATAGGAACAGCGGATTACAAGATGAGTTTCAAATAGAAGTTACAAAGTGTTTCAAGTTCTTTATTTCTCTCAATAACAAAATCTACTTTTCTCAAATTCTCACTTAGTCCTCAATTTTTTTGGTACTCTCACTCATTGAACACACATATATAGAGAACATATCCTAAGGCCTAGTTATCATTTGATAAATACAACTTGAATACCTCCTTTAGAAGTTGAAAAATCAAACATGAACTTGATCATCCCAAAAGCTTTATTTCCCTGCTTGACTTGGTAAATTTATTTGTTTGAATTTTCTTTTTAGTAATAATGAACAATTTGATAACTACAACTTATCATTTAGAGAGGTAAAATTCAACTTTGTTTTCACCTCTATCATCTTCCAACATCATCTCTAAGAAGTAAAATCATAATCTGTCTCCAACTCTAACAGTTTGATATGGGAATATCAAATGAAATTGGAGGTTGAAACGATTGATTAAAAGTATTGATATTTTTCTTTTGTCTTGGTGTGGAAGGGGCCAAGGACGAAATGATTTTAGGGTAGAAATTGTGTTAATTTGAGAAATCTTATATTGATTCATAAATTTCGATGAGATATTGTTGAATTGATTTGAGGATTGACATGTTGCATCTTGAATCTTGAGTCTTTCTACTAAAAAGCATAAATTGTTAGAATTCTGTCGTGACAAAAAAATTGAAAATATGCTCTAAGGTAGTAGCTTATTTGAAAAATTGATCCTAGTCAAATTAAACAACATTTTAGGAAATGGAGGGAGTTCTATTAAATGGTTGAGTGTCAGTGGTTTAGGGTCAAGTGTATGAATCAAAATATTTAATTTGCTCAAGTACTGTTTTCTGGATTTTAAATATATATCATCTCTAGAACTAGATTGACTGAAGCGTGCTAGTTTTGTAGGACAAATGAGATATGCTCTTGCTCATATGATTGCAAGGGGTGTGATATTGGGCGCTGACCAACTTGTCATCGTCCACGTACAAGATATTCTTCCTGCTACAGAGGCACTCGTTGCAACAACTGATGTTGTTGAAGCATGCACTGGAGTTAACATTGCAGTGATGGTTGGTGGCTTTCCCAAGAAAGAAGGCGGGCACATGACAGATGTGATGTCAAAGAATGTCTCCATCTACAACTCTCAGGCTTCAGCTCATGAGAAGCATGATGCTGCCAACTACAAGGTGAATGGCTTATATAGAACTCCTTTCTTGATGACCTTTTTTCATAGAATAATAGTATCGTCGTAATATTATTTTGTAATTTTATCATTATTAAATCCACAGTCAAAACTCAAAGTTCGGCATTGATTAAATTATACCCACAAGCGGCTGAATATTTATTCCAGAAGGGCTTATTTGACCTAATTGTACCTCGTAATCCTTTAAAAAGCGTTCTGAGTGAGTTATTTAAGCTCCACGCTTTCTTTCCTTTGAATTGAACAATATTTCTAGCTTCAACCCTGTCAAGCATCCAAGATAATTCAAGTTTCTTCATATCACATTTGACGATATTTTGAAAATAATCAAGAATTAGATATGCTCACTCAAAAGATTTAAACCTTGACTCCCATTTTTTTCTCCATTTGTGCCACTTGCACACCTAATACATTTTGTTGTTCTTTTGTTGACTTAGTATCGGAGTGCATACAATCACAGCCTTCTTGCCCTTTTATGTTGTCGGAAGAGCCTCATTTGCATCTTTAATGTATTCGTCCAAGTGTGCACATAACATATAAGCTTAGAAGAATAGAGGCGGGAAGTTTTGCATATTTTCCACATATGGTCATAACTTTGCAGATGCAATGCAGATTGTTGACGAAATTGGATACAAAGAGCAACAAAACATATCATTTCCCTATCAAGGATAAACCTCGATAGAAGCATCATTTCCAAGTATCATCGTAGATTACAAGATAGCAAGAAGAAAGTTGATAAAGTTGACGAATTAATGAAGCACATTCAAAAAAGATTTGAACTCTCTTTAAACTTAATTATAAATTGGAAGTGAATGAAAAAATAACAATTTTGTTCTCAATATTCACCCTTGAGGATAAGGATGCTTTTAAGGGTTTAGGAATTTACGGTTACTTACTTTATATAAAATAAGTAGTATAGTTAATTGTTAGTTATTTTTGTATTCTAATGCAAAGAGTATTTCCACTAATATGCCAATTTTTGTGTGCATGTTTTCTTGAAAGTTCAATGCATATGAGTAAGAAAGGTCATCATCGTTTACATTCAATGGGCAAATCGTCCCTATCGTTTCAAACTTGACATTTGCACCCTTATTTCAATCTTTTCTTGCGAAGTTGGTCCTTTCCGTCTCATTCCATCAATTCATTCCGTCAAATATGAGCAGTTGATGTAATGTCCATATTGTTTCAATTTTGGTATTTGAACTCTCACATTGACCTTTCTTTGTGCAAAATGTCCTTATTTTTTTTCTCCATTAAAATAATGTAAAATGACTAATTTACTCTCCTCTTTAAATGAAAAACGAAAGAAAGTAAGAATATAAAAAGTAAATAATTGTAGCTAGAGTTTAAAGTTTTTTTTATTAGTATAAACGAGTTTTACGTAAAACAATTTAAAATATACTAATAAAAAAATATTTCATTTATCCCTACTCCCACCCCATGCCCTCCACCAACACTACGAAAATAATTAAAAAGAGAATCAATAGTATAAAAAAAGTAATAAAATAATTAAAATAGAAAAACAAAAAAAAATAATTTAAAAAGAAAGTGAGTCTTCCTCCCAATCCAAATTCGCATTCTACCATTGGCCACAATCCACTCTCCCAATTCCACTATTGCACCATCGATTTAACTATTTTTATGTAATAAAGTTTCGTGTTCCAATAATTTTTTTGTTTTCAGCGAAGTTACAAAAACTTTTTAGGGATTTAGCAATTTTAGCAAATTCTTGTTTCTATTTTTTCACACACACATATATACGCATTGTATCAGCTTTTGAATTTTGCTATGATTTTGATCGAGTTTATTTTCTCAAAAAATGATGTTTTAAGATGGAATTTCTTTTCCATTAGAGGTTCATACAAAATCTTAATCCAAACCTCATTTCTAACTGTTCTAATTCAAACCTAGCTAAGAGAGAAAAAAATATGTTTTTAAGATGATTTCTTTTTTTTTGTTAATATATTTTAAATTATTTTAAGTAGGTCTCGTTTTCATTCTTTGAAAAATTCAGGATTTTACTGTAATTATTTCTTTTTATATATTATTTTTTTCTTTAAAGAAGGGGACTCATTAGTCATTTTACAAAGCAAACTATAGGGTTGTTTTGCACTAATTACTCATATTTGATAAATTGAGACAAAAAGGACAAAATGTTAAAATGAGGTGAAAATGTCAACTTTGAAACAATAGGAACGATTTGTATAATGAGTACAAACGACGTGAACTTTATATATATACTAGTGTTTGCCCCGTGCAATGCAAGGACTGAGTTATTTCAAAGGTAACGTTAGTACGTTAAATGCGTTGAATTTTCGGGAATTACATCCACAATTGAATATTTGCTATGGGTACACTGAGATAGACTTTCCCTTTGAGCATGAAAAGAGATATATTAAACTATATGATTCCAAAACACAATAAATACTTCTACATGTGTATTACAACAAATAATACAAGTTTTATCCAATTTGCGCATGTACTTAAAACACAAATAGATTTTTCTCGTGTATATGAAAACAACATTTCAAAAGGAAAACCTTCACCAAAGAAGAATTGTGTCTTTGAATGCTCGACGCTTTGTCAATATTGAGATTGTGGAATCAAAAACTTTGAGCAGATCTCTAGTTTCACTTCGCTTTTCAAAAGTGTAATGCGAAAGACTTGAAGTAAAGAACGTAAGCTATTTGTCATGCGCCTCAAGAAAAGCCTCTTTGGTTGAGCTGGATCCATCAAGTTCACTACCCAAAATGTAATTGCACTTGTATGTTGCCTACATTCAAGTATTAAACAGGGGATCTATCGCCTTATCAAATACTCGAAAAAAAATAGCAGCAGCAGCGAATCAGACATACCTGTATCATTCTCTTTACAATGATATATTTCCCTACAAAAGAAGTAGTTGCTACAATCTCTTCATGAGAATATTTGCCATGAATAATTGAAGTGTATTTTCCCTTCTTGTGCTTTTCAACGATATTCCAAACCTTCAGACAAAATTATAGGAAAATAAAACGTAGATGGTCAAAATGGGGTGTAAAGCCTGGATATGATTACATGAGTCCTATAATTGGTTTTAGAACATGTCAAAGTGGAAAAATATCATAGATACCCATGGGCAAGTAGTATTTGCACATTCTTGTCATTCAAAACTAACATTTCATCCACAGCATCTCCAAATCTAGTAGTTTCAGTTTTGACATACATATCAACAACATATTGTTGAAATAATCTACTAGCATGAAGTAATATAGATTTACTGGAAGGCCTGATTTGTAATTTGTATGCATAGTATTCTCGACAAGAGCCTTGAGTGCGAGTTTTTGTTTGATGAAGCACTACATGAACAATAGGGAAAAAATGACTTAATCATTTAGGACATTTATACTAAAAAAGAAAAATAATGTAGGAAAAACTATATCTACAAACCTTGATTTTCTTTCTAAATAAATTCAACCGCTGAACTACTTGTGCTAACAGAACGATTGGATGTTGACATATGTTCAGGTTCGGAAAATATGTTTCTACATCTCTCAATGCTTTCATATCAACCAGATTCTCTATATGGAAACAATAATGGATTTTGTAATGGATCATAACAACCGTAATAATAATGAACTTTATGTGAATCATCAAAATGAGCATATATAATAATGTCACGAACACGAACACTTACATTTTCGTTATCTTCAACCCATATAGCAGCTACTTGAGAAATAGTAGGAGTATTAAAAACTCTTTGATCAACTCCTGGATTGCACCGTATTTGAATTCAATGATCATGCAAGTCAGGCATATTACTAAAACATCTGAAAAATATACTATATGGATTTGTTTTTCAAAATTTCAATCAAAATACGCAATGTAGATTCAACAAAATTAGATGACATTTTCATACGATTTTGAATTTCATTGTCTGTATCGTAAAAATATAATTGCATATAAAAAGGATTATTATTTTCTGGCATAAGTTGGTTGACATGATGATGTACTTGTCCTTGCACCCTAAATGTGTAAATACCTTTATATGTTTTGAAAAAGTCTTTGTCGTACTTTACGCCAAATGAAGTAAAAGCAAAATGATTATTATATCACCTTGAGATTTTCTTAAATTTTGTATAACTAAGTTCTATAGAAGTGAATAAATTATACAATTCAGTTGGCGAATCAGGCACAAAAAGCTTAACTTTTCCATCAGAGCAACAAAATCCTTTACTTTCTCTATAAAATTTCCATGCATTACAATGTGTACAATAAATGCATGCTGGTAATACATATGCATTAGATGGTACTAAAGTATGTTATTGTTTTGTTGGAGGTGAAAGCCAGGAAGTTTATCTGTCTCTTTATCTAAAGGACAAAAATCAGATTCTTGATGAATCATGGGCTGATCAAGTGCAGGAATAGCATATTGATTATTTTTAGACAATATAGGTTTATCTATCCTTTTACGATGATCAACACAAGAAGTTCGAAGTTGACCTTGCCTATCCTTTTTTTTTTTATCCAGTTGACGTATAGAATCATTACACAAGTTCTTTTAACTTTCAGAAATAGTTTCAAGATGAATTAAAGCATGGTTCACCTCAGCAACCACTTCTGGAATTTCCATCGGAGCAGAAGAAAAAGTAGATAGATATTTTCACTCCAAGCTAATCAATATGAAAATTTAAAATAGAAAAATGTATTAGGGAATCTATTATCTATATTGTACATACAAGAAAAAGAAAATATACGGCAGGGAAATTTAGTTGCAACGAGATATTGAAATGAAATAAGTTGACAACACGGAGAGAAATTAGCTGTTGCACACCAACATTCAAACCCGAAAAATTTCATATTTACCAATGAAGTTACAGTTTTCCAAGCCAGCCTGAAAGCAGTTCACAAACAGCTCAGCATTCGTAAAATTTAGGCTGATATCCTGAGAATAAAGGAAAATGTGAGAAAATTGTAAACAAAATTTAATAAAATTTTAAAATGCGTAAAAAATATACATCTATACATTTAGTTAACAGATAAAAAATAAATTTGAAATTGAAATAGTCGTTGCATAAAAAAAAGATATGAAGATTATTGGATTAAAAAGCAATAGAGTCATTAACTATAATTGCTTAAGAATAATGCTCCATTACTGATTTTTTTGTTCTCTGGAATACAAGTGAGTATTGCTATAACAAGAACTAGATCTGAAAAATATCATAACACAATTATATTGTAATGGAAGTATGCATCATATTTTAATTTGTTGCATTTATTACCTCAAGTATAATTAAATTTGATTTAATACTCATCAATCAATTGTCTAGTAATTGACGGAAAAAAAAAAAAGAAAATAATAAAAATGTAAAAATAATTAAGATCAAATAACATAGTGTTTACAACGGTTGATGATGGAAGCAACTATTATGTTGTAGTAAACATTAATGTTTAAGATTTGATCTTTTGTTCGAGAATTTTCTTGTAATACAATAAAGAAAATATAAAATTTAAAATGGAAACTATTTGACAAAATGCCATGGAGGAAAAAAAAAACTTATCGTATATACGATTAGTGATAAACCTTTTTCGACATATCTCACAATAAAAAAAAAAGCTTCAACAGTTTTCCTTAAAGATTAGCGAACACTGAAACTGTAATGGTAAAATAAATAACTTCTTTTGTAGGAAAT